GGGGGTGTCTTGGGGGGTACTACCACTTAGAAACCCAACCTTTTTGGATTAGTTTATCATAATCATTTGATATGCTACATATTACACTTGGTTTCTGTAAGATATGACAAAAGCCTCAGGTTCTGTCACCATTAACAAGTGTAATGTTTCCTTTCAATAAATATTTTGTTTAATAACCTCTGCCATACACCCATATACAGATCCCTCAGCAAACCTCCAAAACCCATGTACAGATCCCTCAGTAAACCCCAATGTTACAGGAAAACAGCAAGAAAGTTATGCCATCTATAAATAAGGGAGACCAGATTAAATGAGAATTGCTTTTATTTTTCCACAGACAGCACATTGTGTGACTTTTTCAGAGACTTCCCAATTGACACGGCACATACAAGGACAACAAGAAGACTGACACATCCGACAACCACCAACACCCAGAGCTCCACAGGGGCAGACTCTTCCTTTGTCATTTGCAGTGCAACATCGTTTTGTTTTGGCCCAATCACAAGCAGAGGTCCGAGAGTGGTCAAACTTTGTCCACCTTCTATGTGGGGTTCTGTAGGAGAAAACACTGGGTCAAGAAGCACATACAGATTTCTGTACACTTCCATGCAATTAAGAGATTAGTCAAGGCAACATTTACTTCAGTGTGTAGAAAGTTAAAACCCATTACAGACCTAGTCACATAAACCAAGAGTGGATTAGAATAGGGAAGGGAAATGTTACAACCCCCTTTCAGGTTTTTAGTACATAAGCATTTTGAGTTCTCCATTCCTAGTCCGATTATGTGGCAAAAGACTTTCCACTGGGAGCACAAAGCAGCCATTGGGTTGTTAGCTTTGCCCTCATAGTGCTACCCTTGTCCTTCAGATCTGTTCATCTGTGGAGTCTTTATATCTAGAGATCACTACAGCTATTACTTTCAAAATGGCAGCTGTAGATAAAAAAAACCTCACCATCCAAGGCTTCCCTCTTGCCAAATGCTCTCGGCCTTCCAAATCTGGTCCTTCCTCCTGCCATCAGATTAGGGTTGCTGCAGGTACCCGTTGTCTGACAACACTGGCAGATATTGCTGGGGCCCTCAACTGCAGACCAGCTAGGGAAGACAAGCAATTGTCAGTATCACAGACTAGATTTTAAGAACGTACATTACAGCTGTGTGGCTTTTAACAAAAATGTAAAGTGTCATGACATTTTACTTTGTCATGAAAGTGAAATAATTTAGCTCATACCTAGTAGATTAAATAGTGCACTAAAAAAGGTACAGTTACATGTGCCAAGAGGCACATCTGAGGCTACATCCTTCTATTAAGACAGGCATTCAAGGATTCCAGTGTGGACTGAACAGTGTTTTATGTGCAGGAAGAATACCAATTGGGCTTTAATGTTCTACTTGCCTAAGTGTTGGCACACTAACTAGTGATAATGTGATTTAGTTTAGTTCACTTTGTCTCACTATATTTTTTTGGAAAGATTAGGTGCTTGAGTGACAGGAAACCAGAAGTCAGCACAGCTTATTGTTTAACAGGGAGCTCCGATCACCCTGGTGGGAATATGTAGCCAACACCAAAGGTGTCACCTTCATACCCATAATACTGAATATACTGGTACCAGAGGCCCTCAGGTGTGACTGGTTACATGGCCATCTAGGAAGAAACATCCTACCCAGTGTACATTGTATAGGAAAGACGCTGGGAGACAGCAGAGGCTACCTGTGCAGCATTACACTAATCAATATTTCCAGCTGTTTAACACCATTAGCTTTAGGAAAAATCATGTTGTCACGGTTTCACAAAGTCACGGTTTCACAAAGTCACGGTTTCACAAAGTCACGGTTTCACAAAGTCACGGTTTCACAAAGTCACGGTTTCACAAAGTCACGGTTTCAGACTGTTCTTGTGCAGAAGGTTCCTCCATTACACTTTTGAGGTCTTATTGCAGTAGCTATGATACAGTAACCAATGCACACAGACCATTTTAATACAGTCTTACCCATTTGTGGCTTTGCTATAGGAACAGGCCTTGTTCATAGAATCTGGGACCTGGGTGGCTGCAGCAGCTCTCAGGTAACAGGTTATGTAGATCTGAAGGGAAAGATTTTAATAGGTTTATCAGTTCGAACAAGACATCCCATCTCTTGCAACCAATTCAAATCCTCACCAGAGACGCATCATTTCCTAGGAATCGGAAGACATCTACTGTGAACCGTAGGTGGTCTGGTTTGACCCTTGGAGTCATAAAGGCTGCAGAGGAGTCCTCTTGCATTCCATCTACCAGACACCTGCAGAAGATGGTCAGTTAGAAAGTGGGGTCATTGGAGCCCCCACACCACCGGGGTTTTATTAGAGCCACGGCCCTTTCCCCAGATATTAGAGCATACCCATGGTCTGTAATGATGTCATAATTAGGAGAAGAGCTGGCATCAGGAGATATGGTGGCCACACATCGGTCAATAAACAGGATCAGGCCAATATGGTTCTGAGTGTCCACAGAGGCCTCTATGTAGAGAATATCTCCCAACTGAAAGACCGAAGAACTTCTAGGGCCGCTCCAGTCCTCTGCAAGTATAACAAAAATTAGTAAGTCCCAAATGACTCCCATCCCCCCTTCCATCTGCCTCATTCAACTCACCAGCCATCAAGTGCAAAGAAAAGGACAGCCTCTCTTCTGAGGACACTGTGGTGCTGAATGGAAGCCATGTTGGCTTAATGGCCTTGCTGCTCACATTACCATGCCTATACAGAATAAAGAGTTGGTAATAAGTCATGAGCTATAATCATGGAATTTCACAGATCTTTATTGCCTTGTTAAGGCAAGTACCATCTTGAAGGGAAATGGTTTATTAGTATGGTAGCCATCATTGTTACTTGGTTGCAAGCCTGGTCAGAACTGCATTTTCCATCAGTTAATTGACATGAAGCTAGCATGAATGATGGCAGTCTACACTGGCTCCAAAAATACCTAAAGCCTGTATCACTATATTTGAGTATACATAGCAGCTAATTTTCCCCAGGGTGGTTTTAAAGACAGTATTAACATAATGTGAATCTTTGTGGCAACCTAAATTCATATTAACCCAAACTTAAGATTGGCCACCAGGTTGTGAAAGTAGAGAATGTTAGAACCTATGCCAGGTAAAATTTTCCATCAGTGTTCTTGATAGGATTAGTAGCAACTCAATAGGCCTGAGTGAGGGAAAGCCATTAACCCAAGTTGTCGCCAGAAAAAGGCATGGATGTCTTTTCCTTATGGGCACTTATTCCAGTGACATCATGGGGGACATACCCAATTGGAAAGTACTCACTTGTGTTTAGAGCAGGATGAGAAAAGAAATCTCTAGAAAAGGACAAATAGCAGAAAACCTGACTGGGATTTTAAAGCTAAAAACATTTGGAAAGAGTAGGGGGACCGTTAGCTATTGACTAGTACGGATGCAATTCTGTTAGCTCTGACCTGCCCAGTGAGACTCACCGATAGTAGTAGCACATTATGGGGACCACAGCTGGGTTGGTTCTGACGATTGGAATGGAGGAGGTTGGGCTGTAGGTCAGGCTGGTAGTGTAGACCACCCAATCTTGAGACATCTGCACAGAAAAGTAGAATGTTACATTGATTTGGCAGCTCTACACATGACAGACATGCGACAACCATTTTTAACCCATTTCCAAAGACTAAAACATATCATGCCAATAAGGATTCAGCAAGCATTTCCCTTTTATGATTCGCAAGCTTCAGGTCAGTGACTCAGCCTGATAATTTAGACGATCAAACAATAGCAGACCCATATCTTATTAAAGGGTCTCTAAAAAAGATCACTATCCAAAGAAACCCTACAGGTAAAGCTTAGAAAAAATAAAATATTTTAAATACTTCCATGCAGCATTTTGCCTTCATATTGTTTTATTTAACTTGCAACGCACCTCTAAACTTGCTAGGGAATAGACACATCAAGTACCAGTTTCCTAGCACAGATACCCGCCATCATTACACATCACAGCCCTCTCCTGGAGTGTCCACTTACTCCATCCCTCCCTGCATAACATTGTATGACTGCTGGGGGAAGAGTGAAGGAATACGATGGATTGTATTTTAAGTGCTAACTGCAAGTCAGCTGACATATCCAAGATGGCAGCATTAAGGGCAATTGGATGTCTATACAAGAGAAGCTCCTACAGGTAAACATGCCAAAGAGGTTAAGTGCACATAGATCTTATGCTGAAGAGTCAAGCAACATGGTCTCATTAAGACAGCTACCAATGGTTGAAGACAAAATCCAAGAAAACCCCACACATCTAAAAGCCATTGTTCCCAATTTAAGCACCATACTAAAATCTAGCAAAATATTTCCCAGAACTACTACCTGTCCTGCTCCCCACACTTAACCACTTTAAGTGCTCACAGGACCCTCTTCATCCAACACTCTGGTGGTTACCATGTTAAAAGACTTACTTTCTTGTCCCACCCAACCTGGATTGCTAATCTTTGCTCTCCAAAAGCTACAGTGCCCAACAGGGGCATAACAAGAAATCACAGGGCCCCATAGCAAAGTTTTGTATGGGGCCCTGTGACTTCTAGTTATGCCCCTTGCAGAGCCCACTTGAGATCCCACGCAGCCCACCTGAGGGTGACCCTACAGAGCCCACCATAGACTCTATGGTGGGCTTGTCACACTCCTTACCTGTCCGCCTCCTCTTCCAGAACGATCGTTGATGATCACCCCCTCCTCCATCACCGGGCCCCACCTCCTCCTCTGCCGGCTCTCATTAACTCCGCAGCAGCCGAGAACACGCTGCTGCACAGATCACTGTCCGTGATGTAAACAGCTGCACATTCTTCTCACATCCGCCAGTGAAAGCCACCAGCATAAGATGCTATAGCGACCCAGGCAGCCAACACGACATCTGGCCATGCTCCATAGTGGCCGCCTGGGTCGCTATGGCGATTGTTACACCACTGGTGCACAAAGATCAGAGTGCAGGTAACCCCTCTTGCCAGTTAGGACTGATGCCATGGCTGCTCAATACAATGACAGCAATTTAGTTCTGCAGTGGAGCATTCCTGTAACAGGAGCTATTAACAGCCACAGCTGGCTGCCTAGATCTACATTACAAGATCTCAGTTAATCTAAATACATAACCAACAAGAGGATCACCACATGATCTAGAAAGCCTGCGAGTGAATCAGCCACCATGATAGTGAATGCTGAGGGGCTGCAGTGACCTGAGCAGAAGAAGACAGAACCAGAGTCAGTAACCCACAACCTGCATGGTTTAAACCCATTTGAAAACACTAGCCCCTTTAGATCAGGTGAAGCTGTTACATTATAAATTATTGGTTGAGAGTCTTCTTGTACTGGGTACAGAGCAAAGCAGAATGCCACCAGCTGTAGAGAACTAAACATCCCAGCAATACATTGTAAAGCATTGCAGAATAATATGAAGCTACATACTGTGTTGCTCCAGGCTTGCAGCCCGATGTCTCCAGGGTCTCAAGAGAGCCGTGTGGCCTTCGGGGTGGGACAGTGCAGCCTTTTTTGGGACTGGCCTATTTGCAGTGTTAGGCCTGGAGCGGGAGCTCCACACACGGTGATCTGGCCCTGGGTCCATTAAGAAGCCTAGTTGCCTGGCCATCAACTCAAGTAATCAATGACCAAAACAAGCACGCAGCAAGGGAATACAATATACCTGCTTGCCAAAAGGGAGTCAGCACTCCTATTATCTGTGGATCTGGAGCTAGGGGAGTGCTTTAAGAAAGTTGCTTGAAGCTTACAGTTTGCAAGGCTCACAAAAGCTAACGCCTGTCTGCAATGCTTCAAAGCAATTGTATTGTGGTTTTAGACCTGCTCCCTCATGGTCATGGAAGTGTAAACATATTCCCCATTTGATATATATTCAGAGAACCAGGGCAGAATTCAGGAACAGGGCAATCATTGAGAATCAGGTCAGGGCTCATCTCATGAGATAGTCTTTAAACCCTACAAAGTGTAATAACCCATAGGGAGCAGGTTTCAGTTTACTAAACCCACAAAAGATACTTTGTTGCTCTAATCTATATAGAGAATAAAAACAAGTTAAAAATCTAGTTGTTGCTATAGGCATCACTAAAGTTACTGGAACACATACAATACAGAATTTAAAAGAAAGCATATGAAGTGCAAAGTTACCTGCGCAGTGTTGCCACAGTCCTGGAGGCTAATCTGGAAGATGACCATGTTGTCAGTACTTTGGGTGCTTGGTTTGCATCCTTGGGCTCCCAGGCTCAGATCGGAAGGTTTTACTAGCTTTCCATTTCCATACAAATCCCTTTGGACACTGACCTCCATGGTGTCCTCTCCACACTGGACGCTGACAGGGGAATTTCTGGTCTGTAGTTGCTGTCGGAGCATCCCACCTGGACGTCCAGCAGATAAACCCCACTGAGCTCCAGCTCTGGAAGCCCCAAACCCAAGCACAGGCTCATTACTGCCCCTATAAAGCTCTCTGGAACCCCATCTAGAAGGAACCTGGGCAGGCACAGCCCGCTGGTAGCTCCTCCACCAATCTGACTGGCGACTTTGTCTAGCTAGGACGCCATCTCCAGCACAGCCAAACCCTGGCCCATAAACCAGTACAAGCAGCAACAACCAACTACAGCAGCTCCTAACCCTTAAGCCCATCCTGTCTGCAATAGAAACAGCATAATGAGTGAGTTAGAGAGAGTTACCATTTATACCCCTCCCAGCAGCCACTAATACCCTCACCTGCGGCAGATCATTACCACACCCAGATGGCTGGCTCATTCAGCATTAGGGGTTAAGCTGGCCATACACCTATATATTATCTGACGATTTTTTTATGGTCAGATGGAAAAAGTGCAACAGATTCCTCCATCTACGTTAAACTCTGTTGATGGAAGAATCTCACACTGGGCCACGCTTCAGTATCTTGTAGCATGCCACATGTGGCCCACGGGTCATAGTTTGGAGACTTAGGGCTCATTTATACTGTTTTGCGCCTATTTCAACAATGTGTTGTATGCGTTATGGGGGGCACACCCAATGATGTCCATAAATGAACTCAACAAGAAACACCTATGTTTCAAAATAAATTGCCATGTGTCTTCTGGTCCATTGACGCATGTTTATGGCCCATTGAAAATGTATTTAGACCATGCAATGGGCGTCATCATGCCAAAAAATGCGTGCCAACTAATGTCGGGGGAACTAAGAGGAACTGGGAACTTGAACCAAACATCGCACATCCTTAGTATCAACACATGCAACATGTGAATGAGCCCTTTGCATTACCATTCATTTCCATGGACCCCAGGATGCACACTGATCCTGTAACATACATGCTGTGCTCTCTGAATGAGCTCTATCACTGGGAGCCACTTAGATCTTGCTTTGCTGTAATGTCTTATTTATTATTACTTAAAGTCAGTCCATCCTAAAGTGAAGTTTTGGGGGTCCACTTCCACCTGTGTGTTCTCAGCTCCTCCTGTCACATTCTGGGTAATATTTAAAAAAAAGAAAAAATCCAGCAGACCCAGCTCAGGGATGGTGGGAACCTCTTATAATGGGCACAGCCGGTGTTCAGACTTCAGAACTCAGCTCAGGGTTGGTGGGAACCAGTGTGGCGGCGGAGGGAGCCGCTGCACCGGCGGCCGGAAGATTCTTTTAGCGGGGGCCAGTGGCGGGCCCCTTGACGGCCGCGGGCAGCGGCCGTTTTTGAAGGCAGCAGAGAGGCCCGGGGGGCAATTGCCACCCTGCCCCCCGGCCCAGTCCGCCCCTGGTGGGAACCCCTTATAATGGGCACAGCCGGTGTACAGACCCGGGAACTCAGCTCAGGGATGGTGGGAACACCTCATAATGGGTACAGCAGGTGGTTCGAGTCAGAAACAGTACAGGGATGGTGGAAAATGAGCTGCAGTGTCTGGGATGGGGAAGCATGTGAGACACAAATGAAGGAGGATTTGGCACAGTCAGTGAAGGTAAAGTTTGTTTCCTTTATGAGGCTTATGCATCACATAGTAACTGGATTTGGTACTTTTTAGATTGTCATACAGGAGCTCTTAGTTATACTTTAGGTGATGTGGAAGAATACCAGCACTATATAAATAAGACATCCACTACATATTTATACTACAAGTATACATTTGTAGACAAAAAAAAAGGCCTGGGACTTAGGCTCAGTGAGTGAAGTTTGAGAAAGATGATGACATGGAGCAACTACAGCATGCATGAGGAGCCAGGGAAACTTGCCCTCTGCTGGAGCATGGTGATCTCTTCATTAAATGGACTGGTAGCTAGCTATATCCTCAAGTATTCTACAGTCAGGAGCTGAATGCACAGAATGATGGATCGTCTTACAGATCTTCCATGTGTGAGGGATGCAAGTATTGTATTTTTTATTATTAGATTCTACAACATCCAGGGCGTCCTGTCCCCTAACTCTATCTCCTTGAGTTATTCAATAAAAGTTAATCATGCATCAGATTAAAGGAGAACTATGGGGTTAAGGCTTTTCCCCATAGTTCTCCTTAGGGTAACGGGAGGACACAGACTAGCGTCCTCCCGTTACCCTAAGCTCAGTATACCGCGAGCTACAGCTCGCGGTATACTGAGACGCTGCAGCTGAAGCGGATCCTGACAATTGTGCCGGGATCCGCCCAGCTGCGTGACTGACAGCTGGCTCTGCCTATCTAGAGGCATAGCCAGCTGTACCCGCCCCCTCCCCCGTCCGTTCCGCCAGTCAGCGCTGGTGGAACAGAGCGGGGAGGGGGGAATCCAGCCCCTCCCCTGTCACGGCAGAGAGCCGTGACAGGATCAAGAAGTGAGCGAACGCCGGTATATGTTCGCTCACCTCCCGATCTACTGAGCCGACCTGTGACAGTCAGTGTTGTATTTTGGTTTTGTGCTGCCCTAGGCAATACTAAACCCGAGCACCCTGCCCCCCCCCATCCCTTATCTAAATCAGTGCCACCCCTTCCTGTTTAAGACATTTTACATAACCTGTCAGTCGCGGGATTCAGTACGTACGGTGTATCTAGATTCTGACAGGTTGCGCTATCAACATAGGGTGACGCTCTAGTTCTACCTTTGCGATAGCCACCTTCTCCATTCCTGGCTTGATGGGCTCCCTTGTTCTGCAGCTACAATAAACATTCTCTCCTGCCTGGCCGTGCTGTGCTAGTCTCTAAGTCTGCAGCTGCAACACCGATCTTCTGCCTTCATATGCTGGGCCCTCTAATTCTGCAGTTACCAACCTTCTGCCTTGGCCACAGGGCTCTGTAGCTTGCCCCGCTCTAGAGACATAACCCGGCATAGAGCTTATAGGCTGCACTTCCCCGGACTCACCACCCTGGAGGTATCGATTAACACGATGACCATCTGGATCTCAGCCCTGGGGTCCTGCGGAAGCTCCTCCACTGCCTGAAGTCAGAGATTTGAATGCCGGTTTCCCAGAAAGGTCCGGTGCATAACTGCCAGTGCATCTGGATGGAAGTCACACACACCAATACATTGCACACCATGTTGACCAGGAAGAGGAAGGAGCTGCAGCCGGCATATATGTAAGAGTAGGCGGCATAGGTGGACACGTTTGTCCCCCAGTCAAAGAAGCATCAGGTCCAGGCAGTACTGGCATTAATTTATGAAGAATTTATAATATAATGTATTTTTTTCTCTTACCTAACTGGTTTGGGGGCAGCATTTTTTGGCGCCCCCCTAGAAAGTGCCGCCCTAGGCAAATGCCTAGTTTGCCTTGCAGTAAATACACCCCTGGTGACAGTCTCATTGTCACAGGTCGGCTAGAACTATGAGGTGAGTGAAAAGCACTTTTTAACGATGCATAGATACCATTTACCGATATTTTGCTTTTGATATTTGCCGATACCGGTGCTTCTGCTGGCATGGAGCCAGCTTCCCGGGCAATCAGGAAGCTGGGCGGCGGGTAAAGACATGCCTCCCAGCTTCTTGATTGCCCAGGAAGCCAGCTCCATGTTGTTTGGCCTGCTCGACTGGGTGGAAAGCAGGTTTCCCACCCAACCACAATCAGCATTGCGCTAGCTTTCCATCCAATCAGGAAGCCTGGTGACAAGTAATGACTACCCTCCCAGGTTCCTGATTGGTCGGATCGATGCTGATTGACCAGGAAGCCGCTTTCCCAGCATAGGCGTCACTACATGGGGGCAAGGGGGGGCAATTACCCCCCCCTCTTTTTTCTTTTCTCCCCCGCCGTGTGAATACATAGTCTGTGAAGTGTGAACTGTCAGAGCACTTCTCCTGGTGCCACAGGAGTTCTGAGGGGAAGGGGGGAGGGGGAGGGGAAGGGAGAGAGGTTGTGATCCCGGGTGCAATGCCATAAATTAAAGATCTTTGTACTGTCAGGAGTGTGCACTGTGCAGCTAAATCCCTTATCAGATAGATTTATAGACCACCTTTCAGCAGATAGTGACCCTCATGGACAGCACAGGGGTTTAACTGTTTGTTTCCCAGCTGCAGCAACAACTAATAAAGTTATACAGTGACTGCTACTTCAGTGACAATAATGATTATTTATTCTACAGACATGCAGGACAGGGCTTACTATGGGGCTTTTTTTTCATGGAATATAAAGTTCCTCCTTTTGGCTAATTTTCTATAAAACCATCCTACACTTCCGGTTCCGGCGCCCGCTGGAGTAGAGGTGTGAGACTGAGCTCCGTCGCGCCTGCTCCAAAACACAGAATATATCTGCTCTTCACCGGCTCCACCATCTGATAAGATCATCAGGAGTGCTCCGTGGATGATGGACAGATTTGTATTGCGGCCGCAAACAGCGAAACAAAATATATTGCCGCACACAGACACACCACGTGAAGCACCTGACATGGCGGACTGGAGTGAGCCCAGAGATTCCATGCAGACTGACACACCGGGTGAGTCATCTCCCATTCACGCTATTCCCGGGGTGGACTATCAATCGTTGGCCTCGGCGGTGGCCTCATACTTAAAAGCCGATCTGGCCACTATCATTGCTGACTCCATGCAGCAGCATATGGGCAAGCTTAACCAGACGCTGGAAATGCACTCCTCACGTATAACAAATATAGAGCAGCGAGTGGGGGAACTAGATGACCGAATGCACGATCTTCAGTTTAATCAGACCAAATCTCATGATCAAGTCAGTTATCTCTTAGACAAAGTAGATGACCTTGAAAACCGTCTGAGGCGCAATAATTTACGTATCATAGGCCTGCCAGAATCAGTCCCTCCAGGTGAATTGCATACCTTCTGCTCACGCACTATACCCCAAGCACTAGGCCTCCAGACACCATGCAAAGTGGAGAGAGCCCACAGGATCGGCCCACCCAGAGATCAGCAGAAACCGAGGCCTGTACTAATACGATACC